AATATTTGGGAATTACCCTAGATTCCCAACTTACCCTTTTTCATTCTTTCTTGTCATTCTGAGTTGGATAGACTGAGGTTGGTAAGAGTGGGTGATCTTATGGAGGATAGGACAGAGAGTTGATAGAGTAGACTTTCAACACTTTTGAAACTGAGTCCATTCTTAAGATCTACATAAGCCAGTTGAGGAATAAGAATAAGCTAATATGTCACGTTAATCCCAAGAGTACTCAGGAGGTGGAGATCAAAGGAAGATGTGGCTCAGAACCTGGAAACTCCCTGTCCAGCCAAAGATGAAAATTTTTATGTGGAAAGTCTACCTTGGTTTTATGAGCACAATATTTCTGAGGAATTGAAGTAGATACTGTGTGTAGTCTGTGTGGAGAAGAGTTTGAGGATGTGGAGCATTTATTATATAGATGTGCTAATGAAAGCTGCCAAGGCTGGTTGGAAGGAAATAGAGTACTGTTGTGTGGCTGACAAAGGTGTAGTGCAAAAATTGCAGTTTGCTTGCTCTCTCTCTTCTTTCTTATTTTTTTTTGTTTGTACTATATTGTATACTTTTAAGGAGGTTTTGGTGTGTGTTTGTTTCATTTTTTTTTTTTATTAGTTTTGTGTATCTTTGGTAGCCTTGATGGCTTGGAGGGAAAACAGCCATGTGTTGCATTCTTGGTGTACAATTGTGAGTTTGATTTTATAAATTTATGCGTTGCAGGAAAAAAAAAAATAAAATAAAATAAAACAATATGAAACTACAATTATTTTCTTTTGGTAAAAATGAAACTACATTTATTAAAATTTTACCTAATCCACCATATCGACCAAAATCCCTCACATATGACAAAAAAGAAAAGAAAGTAGAAAATATGTGACAAAAAAGAAAAAGAGATGAGAAAATGAAAAAGAAAGAAGGAAAGAAAGGAAAAATATGGGCAGGTAGACAAAATCAAAAGTACCATTAACAAATACTTTGGCGTTCTATCAAAAGCTTAACAAAATGAAAATACACAGTTATTAAAATGAAGTCGATGAAACTGAAAAAGACAATAGTAGACAAAATCAAAAGTACCATTAAAAGTTGAGAATTAATAAAGAGGAAATAGTTATTTTCACCCCGTTCTGAAGTCACACTAAGTTTTTCACACCACCCAATAAAAAGCTAAGTTTTTCACCCTAAAAAGTACGAAGACATATGCGATGAAACATGCGCTAAATAGGCGACAGGTATGAGCATGGGCGAGAAAATTATGAGTTAAATTATGCGACTGTTCTACGATGAATATTCGGAGATTCGATGTACGATTTTGTCATTCGCGGTCCGTCGCCCATTAAATAATTATTTTTGTTAGGCGAATGAACTGCGACTAT